CTCCATCAGCCTCCACACGGAGCTCTGTGGGCTTCTGTGGATCATCCAGACCCCCTGAGGAGCTCTGACACCGTCCTCATAATCCTGTTAAACAGGTTTACCAATGCATCGATCACACAGGTCGTCTGTCATAGATCATTATGTTTGTGTTTATTAACTCTTTATTACCATGATGTCACCATCGATGAGGGGTTACATCAATGACTCATCCTCACATCAAACATCTATAATCCACAAAATAGCAATAACATTAATTATTCATGTCTAACCTCCTCCAGATCACAGATCAGAGTCTGGCATGGGAGGTCAGGGAAGAAGGAAAGGAAGGAAGGGAAGGAAGGGAGGAGTTTAAGGAGCGAAGGGAAGCATTCGGCAGAGAGTGAGGAAACGAGGTAGCTGTTGGGAAAGTAGAGAATGAGAGGCAAAGATGATGCGGTTGCCATAGTAACAAGAAGACCCTTGAGAGCCTCCGTTGCCTGGCAGCTGACATCACCAAACAGAGGGGGAGGAGCCATGTTCGATTCATAAAGATGGAGACAGACACACGGAGCGGCGGCGCAGCATTTGTAACCTGCTCTTACCCATCAGCCTCGGCGGCGCCATGCTCACCTGTCTGTGTGTCTGTGGGTTTAACATCTCTGATCCTCACTGTGTGAAGTGTGTGAAGCTCAAAGGACTCTAATTAAAGGCAGGAAGTGGTGACCCCTGACCTCAGGCGAGCTGACACGATGATGTGAGCGGCGGTGATTTAACGTCTGGTTAAAGCGCTGACGAGCTGCTGTGTTTACACACCTGTGTGTGACAGGTGACTCACGGGCCTGCAGGAGGCGCCACAACACACACACAGATAAAGACTCAAAGCCAGATGGAATCCTTCAGACCGTCTACTCACAACTAAACAGGAAACAAACTGCATGCATGTCATGTGACCACATTCACACCTGAAAATCACCAGACAGGTACGAATAAAAGCTGCAGATCCTGATGGTACAGACACACCTGGGTGACACTTTATAGGTGAAGGTGTAACTCCTGGACAGGTAAATGGAAGTGTAAGTACAGCGTGAGCAGTTAGATTAGATTAGATGAAACTTTATTAATCCCTCGGGTGGGTTCCTCCGGGAAATTCAGTTTCCAGTAGCAAAGCACCGAAAGAAGTTGCATGTTACAGATACATTAAGGGGAATGAGAGTAAGGATATAAGCATAAATACACCATATATACACATATATAGATACAGAATATACAATATGGATAAATAGGATTGCTCATTTGAGTGAGTATATTGCACAGTGATTATTGCACAGTCAAATATAAGAAAAAAGACAAAACAAAAAACAAATATTGCACAGTGTAGAAAAGCACCTACAGCTCAGTTGTTCCCCCCTCCTTTGTCCTCCTGTTTCTCCCCTCCCTCTCCCCTCCAGAGAGGAGTTAAACAGTCTGATGGCGTGTGGGACAAAGGAGTTTTTAAGTCTGTTAGTTCTTGTCTTGGGGAGAAGCAACCTGTCACTGAACAGACTCTTCTGGTTGTTAATGGCCGTGTGCAGAGGATGCCTGGCATTGTCCATAATGTCCATCAGTTTCTTTAATGTCCTTTTCTCTGCCACTGTCACCAGAGTGTCCAGCTTCATGCCGACCACAGAGCTAGCCTTCCTGATCAGTTTCTCCAGCCTGGATGAGTCCTTCTTTGCTGTGCTGCTCCCCCAGCACACCACAGCATAGAAAAGTACTCCAGCAACCACCGACTGGTAAAACATCCTCAGGAGCTTCCTGCAGATGTTAAAAGACCTCAGCCTCCTGAGGAAGTACAGTCGGCTTTGGGCTTTTTTATACAGGTGCTCTGTGTTGCATGACCAGTCCAGTTTATTGTCCACCCACAGCCCGAGGTACTTGTACTTGTTGACCACCTCCACCTCCTCCCCCTCTATCTGAACCGGCAGTGGACCTTCTCTGGACCTCCCGAAGTCCACAACCAGTTCCTTAGTCTTTGAGGTGTTGAGTTGCAGGTGGTTTGTGTGACTCCATGCGACAAAGTTCCTCACCAGACTTCTGTACTCCTCTTCCTGATCATCCCAGATACACCCCATGATGGCTGTGTCATCTGCAAACTTCTGAATGTGGCATAATTCAGAGTTGTAGCAGAAGTCAGAGGTGTACAGGGTGAAGAGAAGAGGGGACAGCACAGTTCCCTGTGGTGCTCCTGTGCTGCTGACCACAGTGTCAGACGTGATGTCCTTCAGCCTGACGTACTGTGGTCTGTCGGTGAGGTAGTCGGAGATCCAAGCCACCAGGCAGGGGTCCACCTCCATCCTGTTCAGTTTTTCCTGAAGCATACAGGGCCGGATGGTATTAAAGGCACTGGAAAAGTCAAGAAACAGGATCCTGACCGTGCCTTTTCCCCCATCCAGGTGTGAGTGGGCTCTGTGTAGGAGGTACAGGATGGCATCCTCCACTCCGACACCCGCCTTGTATGCAAACTGTAGTGGGTCCTGGGCATGTTGTACCTGTGGTCGGAGGAGGTTGAGGAAGAGCCGCTCTAGAGTCTTCATAAGATGTGACGTCAGTGCCACCGGTCGGAAGTCATTCAGCTCATTGGGCCGGTTCTTTTTGGGGACCGGGACGATGCAGGATGTCTTCCATAGGGCGGGCACTCTCCCCAGTCGCAGACTGAGGTTGAAGACTCGTTGTAGCGGCTCCCCAAGTTCAGCAGCACACGCCTTTAGCATCCTAGGACACACCTTGTCTGGGCCTGCTGCCTTTCTGGGGCGAAGCTTCCTCAGTTATCTCCTGACCTGATCCACTGTGACACTGGCAGATGATTGGGAGGAGGGGAGGCTGTCGTGCTGTTTAGAGAGGGGTTGGAGAAGGCTCTGTAATAAACTACAGCATACTCGTGATATAAGACGGGGAAATATGATCTGTTTCCTGTAAACATTTGTTTTACAGTCCCTACATTTACTTGTTTTCCTGTAGAAAGCAGACAGTATGTGTAGGTACATACGATTCATTTCTAATCAAACAGACTGAAACTGTTTGCTAACAGGGGACTTACGCCCTTAGTCGTGTTATAGAGTAGAGCCAACAGCTGCACCTGCTGGACTACATCAAGGCTGTAACAGAAGAACCAGTGGTGAGCTCCAGCTCCAGTAAAACCAGTGTAAAGCACTTTATTTTGATGCCGCTCAGAGCTCTGCAGCTGTGTGGTGTCCAGTAAAAACTGCCTGACAGGATGAAACCTTTGCAGTGATCACTGTTTCTAAAAACAAACGGGCCTGAGCCATCGTCAGTCCTTCAGAGGCAGAAGAGAACCTCATTAAACCACTGAGATGGAGACAAAAACAGCCGCTCAAGCCTCGAGGATAATGTGTTTGTTAAACTGTGTTTCCCTGTGTTATGGGCATCGTTTTCAGCTCGCCACAATAAAGGCTCATCTTCAGTTTAATACCTCCATCATCCTGAAAGCCTGTATTTCCACGTCACCATGACATCACGAGGTCATGTGTCAGCAGCATGTTCCAGTAGTACCTAATCCAGGGCTCTAGACTAACTTGTTGCCATGGTTGCACTGGTGCGCCTAACTTTTTTTATTAGGTGCACCAAAATGTTTCAACCGCGGTGCCCAACACTTTACACGTTCACTTTTTAACAATGACCGTCCACACAGACAATATTGATTTGTAAATGATTACCTATCAGTTTTCTCAACACAAAGTTCTTTATTTGGAGCTCATTTCTACAAAAAACATAAGTTACCGTATTTTTTGGATTTTAAGGCGCATTAAGCGAGACAAATAGATAAGTCAGACTTTACTTGAAATCCGCTGCATAAGCATGTCTCTTATCAGGAGCCATTTTGGGCTCCTTATACACACACAATACGGTAATATTGCGTTGAAGCACAGTACGTATCACTCCGCGAGGCTCCAG